TCGAAGGGTATTTTCTTGTTAGTTCACAGGACAACAAGAAGGACCTGAAGGCGCCTCCCAGACAGTTGAAACTTTCTATGAAAGACATTCGATGGAAGTGGAAGCATGACGGCTGCCCGAGAGCTGTGATGGGGAACCCTAGCGGGAAACAAGATCAGGTCCGGGCTTGGCGTAAGTTTTGTACAACGGCGCTTCATAAGGCGCCTCAAAACAGCTTGTGGCTTCTCGCGGATCAAAAGGAAGAGGAGGCCATTAAGAAGCAAAATGCTGCCCTGCGTTCTTACTTACCTCTGGCGATGGCCGGGAAAAATGTCTGGAAACTGGCCGTGGAATTTTTCGAAAAATGGGAGACAGGAGATTGCTAAGCCACGATGGGGCGAAGTGGACCGTCAAAAAGAAGAAGGTCAAAAACGTAAAGCCTGGGGTCGCCTACATCCACAATGACAAATTGGGCAGAACGGAGGTGGTGTACAACGTCCCCGTGGACCCGCCGAATAAAAAGGGCAAAAAGGAGAAAGAGGAGGGCGATTGGTTCGTGCAAGTGCCAGATCCGGACGCGCATTGTTGGAAAGCAATGGAATCACTCACGGACAATAAGAAGTGTCGCGTTCTGAAAAAGGTGCTTGCTTGCGAGGTCGTTTGGGTCCAGGCCGGCTCCCCGTCGCTGGCGAAGTTGCGAAAGCTCAGCGTGCAGGACATGGTTCAGCTAGTGAAGTGCGACCGCGTGCTGGTCCGGTTGTGGAATTACTACCAATTCAAGCACGAGAAGAGGTCGGACGCGGACTAGATCCAAAGGTACCTTTTCCTGAAATCGAGGTTTGCCGTGTTCAAGAAGTTCGAAGGTCAGGGATTGGATGACGAGTTGTGGGATAACAGCAGGAAACACGTTTCCGACTCGGCGTTGTTCAAGGACTGTCCGCCGTACATGGGTTGCGACCAGGAGAACTCGATTGAGGTGACGGAGAAGTTGGTGGGCCACAAGAAGTTGTCCGTCGACTGGAGAAACAAGGTTCTCTCCGTGTTGAATGGAAGCAGACTGAAGAGACGGGAAGTCGCACTTGCCAAAGGCGTCATTCACATTAAATGGAAAGACACGGGGGACGTGACATCCATCGCGCCGTTCACCAATGACCCTTTAGAGGCGGACATCAGGGGCGCAGAGCTGAAGGAGGCAGTGGCTGCCACTAAGAGCCACACATTGGTCCTCGATCTGTGCGAGCCGGTTGACCTTAAACTGTGGAAGCCCCAAGCGTGGGAGACTTTGAATTCCTATCTTCAGACATGGTGTCCCTCGCATTGGACTCTCGTTGTTTTCGTGCCGCGGCAGCACAACCTGTCGTTTCTCGCCAGCATGCACCATCTTTCTTTCGTCAAGCTGTTGGAAGGGAAATGGGTGCGGAGAGTGCAGCAAAAAAAAAGCTTCCCCGTTGGGAACAATTTATACACGGAGGAAGACCGCATGTACATCCTCTTCAAGGGTGACGATCTGCGCGTCAACACGTCCGTGGTCTACGAGGGAAACCTGCCCACGGGTGCCGCTGCTGTGGTGCGATTGCCTCAGAGGGTCACCCAGACGGATGTGTCCGAGATTCCTTTCACGCCTTGCGACTGGTCGCTGGTGGCGCCTGAACGACAGGGCAGCGTCTACGGGGATATGGAACGCAATTCGACCCAATTCGTCGGTCTTCTTGATTTTCTTGGCAAGAAGGGAGAGGGTGTCGTGTTCCTTGGGAAACCGCACGTGCGAAGCGTCTGGAAGCTTCTGAAGGCCGGCCGGCACCTTGTCGCAATGGAAGGGATTTTCGACCTCTTGCAATTCACGATGCAGGTGGTGAAAAGCGAGGTCAATTCGAGTGGGCACAATTGTGAGTTCCTGGTCGCGACGCCAACACGGGATAAGGTGTGGAGCAAGAAGACGGATATGTGGTTCAAGTTGAGCGAGAGGAAGAGGAACAAGAAATACAATTTCTTGTTCTTTCAAACGCGT